AAACCAGCATCCCAGCTTCAAAACATACCTAACCAGCATATGCTGTTTTTTTTCAACAGTGTAACTTAAAGACGTCTGTCAGATGTTTGTACACAGGCTTTCCAGATGAAGCGATCTTGAACCGAAGTCTTGCAGACGTAGGCTACGTGTGCTATCTAGTAAAGCCCCTTTTCTTTCTAGATCCGGGATCTTGTCCATCCTATTAGTTATTGGTCATATACTGATTCATTGAGTTTCAGGTTGTTTTGCTCATCACACCTGTATCTGAAGTGTTTACGAGCGGTTCCCACATAAACGCAAGTGTTGCCAGGAGCTGTCGCGTTTAAAGTTGCAGACAGATTTAGATGGAAATAAGGTTTATTGTCTATTATCAGTGTAACAATGTATGAATCACAGATCATGCAGAACTTGGCCAACATGGACTAGTTGCGAAATCTTTCGTAAAATTGCCCTTTACATGGATTCCTATTGAAATTACTAGATTTTGCTTGCAAAAATGTATTGAACAACATTAAATGTGACCAACCTTAAAGGCCTGCTCACACCAAGATAACAATGAAGATATAGTTCTAAACATCGTTCTCAATATTAAAGAATAGCAGAGTCCACATATAACGATAATGACACAGAGAATCACTTTCAGAATGATTTTTTTTTTGCAGATAATGAATCAATCCTGCTGTAACGAGCTTGAGAATTTAAAGCGGCAGACGAGAATGTGCTTGGTGTGGTAACTGTGATAATTTGAGTAATTTAATGATTCTGGTTCAACTTTGGTTTCATGAAGGATTCTTTCAGTGCTCTGGAGGAAGTGTCCCCCAATAATTGCCATATTTTCCAAAAGTCACACGTGAATAAGTTGCACGGGTCAAAATAGCATTGCATAGAGAAAAATAAAACAGAAGTCGAATTTTACGAAATGTTTACGTCATTGCAGTTCCCCTCACTTCACAAAATCCTTTCAATTTAATTGTGTACAGAACACAATTATAGTGGCACTCCTTAATATCAACATTTACTATAAATGCCAAGTCTAAACGAATTTAAAGTGTGTGCATGTGAATGAATTTACCGAATTAACCGTCATTAACCAAACTGATTTCTGTTAGCGGTGCAAGAGCTGATATGTTGTGTGTGCGCTGCTTGATGCTAATTAGCTTTGGGATATAAGTCATAGCATGTTTGAGATGATTAAAAACCTGGCTTGTAGTCTAAACAACATGCATACTACTACAAAAAATGCATTATGAATCCCAGCACCGCTTGATTCACGGTTGGGTTGAATCTGAAGGTCTCCTCAGACTGATGGGTGACACATGTTCAGAGTCCGTCCTGGACAAATGGTGTCTTATCAGCTCTGTAAACAACTCCTGACGGCCCACACACACAAGAGACGCGTCTGTCTGTTTCCGTCTCACATGAGTCCTGTTAGGAGACAGAAATGTGAGCGTTAAGAGCAAAAATAGACGGCAGAGTGCTGGCTCTTATTTAGATAATCAGATTGAGCCGTTACTTAAGAAACGGCCAAAACAACTCAGCCCGTTTGTTTATGAAACTAATGCAAAAAATAGACATCTGTTATTTCTTTACACTGGTTTGCGTTTCATGCGTTCATATACGGCGGCCATAGAAACACCCCCAACCCTCCTCCCGACCCCTCCCGACCCCTCACACATTCATTCCCATAGCAACAGCCAAGCTCAGTTGCCGTGGAGATGACAAGCGATGGCTGGGGAATGTGTGTGTGTGTGTGTGTGTGTGTGTTTGAGTAACGGGGTTTTTATGAGATGCTGAAATCTGAGATTAGTTAGTTTTTTGATGTTCTTAAAGTGTTTCCGAAATTCCTGTTATTTCGGATTGATTAGGAATGCTGATAATGCGTGTATGTGAGTGGTTCGAACACAATGGGCATCATTCAGTCACATGAGCAGAACGAATGTCTGCGGAAAATCGCTGTTGCCTGAATTGTTGTGATTAATTGAATGAGACAATTTACGTGAGAATGATTTAAATACCATTTCCGCAGCCTGTGTTTCACAAATGAAGCCCGATGTTTTTACACAGAGGTCAAGTGTTGGGTTTCGGGTTTGAATATGAATGTAAATTAGGGATGCATTATACCGTATTGGCCCGAATATAAGACGACCCCCCTTTTTCCAGATGTACCTTTTGGAAAAAGGCTTTTTAAAAACCAAATCAGTTTTTTTCTCAGTAAAATACATTTTGTCTTCAATTATTTTCATATTGCATATTTTTCCTATTTAAATTTTTGTTTTGAAAGTATGGTAAAATCTGGTAAAATGTACCAACAATCACAGTTTAAAAATATACACTTTTTGATATACCATAAAAAAAAAAAAAAATGGGTATCCCATCTGAATTAGGACATTTATGGCGCTTTTCCACTGCATGGTACGGCTCGGTACGGTTCACTTTTTGGGGGTTTTCCACTGGGTACAGTACCTGGTACTTTTTTCAGTACCACCTCGGTTGGGGCTCCAAGTGAACCGTACCGTTACCAAAACGTGACGTGTAAACTCTGCTGATCACGGATTGGCTGGAGAAAATCGTCACTACCTGTGTCACTGAACTTGCGACATGAGACACAAACAGAACCGCTAGATTTAAATCAGCACAGCCAGCGAAGGATCGAACGAGTGCACCTTTTTTTTAAAACCAAAAAGTGGCTGTTCCACTTTACTTGAAGTACAGACGTTCCTCTCGTTGATAGCAGAGGAGCGGATCCAGCGAGAGCTTGATGGGGCGATGCGGAATGAAAAAGTTTTTTAGGAGTCTCGGCAGTAGAGGCGGTGCGCAACTATAACGACATGTGAATAATCCCACCCACTCTAAAGCGATACTAAACTGCAGTGGAAACAAACCGTGCCGTACCGTACTGAGCCGTACCGAGCTGAGTCGTACCACGCAGTGGAAAAGCGCCATTAGGCTATCCATCTAACAGTAGCCTACCGAAATCTAATTAACAGTAGAAGTTAAATCTTACTGTAGTCTTCAAATCTGGGTACGGTCTTACGTTTTAAAATCACAAGCGGAGTTTGGTCCCATCAGGCTAACGTGACCGTCACGACTCATGCAGCTGTAAGCTTTTCTTTCTCTTTTGTTTTTACTCGCGATCTTTACAACACGCATTACATTACGTATGTCATGGCACACTCGTTTCATGCGTATTTGGCGCCACCTATTGTTGTGGGTGTATTATTGACATGTCAAAGTCTAGACCCTGAATATAAGACGACCGCGTTTTTTCAGATGTACTTCCAAGAAAAAAACATCGTCTTCTATTCAGGTCAATATGGTATTGAAGGAAACCGCGGTATATACCCTCCTGTTGTGTTGGGGTGAATTTGACCTATGCTTGATTTTCAAACTGCTCGAAATGCTGGTTGAACTATTAATTTCTTCTGGAAATTTGGTGATTATTTCTCATTTAGGGTCATGAATGTGCATGCAAAGTTTCAACACATAGATGCATTTTGGAAAGGCTGTACAAAAATGACAGATTTGGTATTGGGGTTATATCGAGCCCTATTGGCTTACGTGCAGTTTCGCAAAAATCAGTGCGTTAAAAAACACTGAAAAGTCCGGTAAAGCAAACAGCAAACTTTAATTGCAGCTTGGCAAACACTAAAATATGAAATGCAAACACACAAAGTTTCTTCAAAACTGAGACTTGTCTTTTCAATTGTCCAAGAAAAGTTTGCTGTTTCTTTGTCGATTTACACAGTCAAAAACAAAATCTGTCAAATGCTTCGATCTCAATTACTAGTCCATTGCAGCACTGAAAATAAGTGTCTGAAATTAATTTTATTCATACGAGGATTTGCAGTACAAATAGCAATGCATACTAACATAATGCACTAGTTATTTGCACTTCAGTGTAGATTTTTGGCAAATTACGTGGAAACCAGTTTGGATAAATTTGACCCAAACACAAAAGTCTCAGTCCTCCGTGTTTGAACAGGAAGGTTAAATCATGTGGCATGCAGTATGGTGATGCTTTAAGTGTGTAAAATCAGTTTAGATTATATTTTGAGTTTTGATGCCTGCAGGTTACATATAACTTGAGCGGATTTTTTATTCATTTAATTTTTTTGAAGCTGTTGTGATATGCATATCGCAATTTTGTACATTTGTGATGTTTTGATCATTGTACAACCCTGATGTAAATATTGAATTTAACTCTTTCCCCGCCACCATTTTTTTTTAAAAGTTGCCAGCCACCGCCAGCGATTTTGATGATTTTCACTCAAATTCGATGGCCTCCAGTTAGGCCTGGGCGATAAAACGGTATCGATATTTATCGACGGTACACCACCTTCGATAACGATAGAAAAGATGTTCGATATAGTGCATGATATAGGCACGTGCTATGAGTGACAAGCAGACAGCACACACAAACACGAACACATGCTGCTGTGCCTGCCTGTGACGAGGAGATTGTGAATAAAGAATGAATATTAGTCGAATTTAAAATTGAATTGATGTTCAAGCGTTCAGTGATGGGATGCTGATGCTCCGTAGTTGTCCTCACAGGTCCGTCCTCTCCACTTCGTCAGCCTCCAAGATAGATTCTCTCAGGAGTAAAGTGGAACTGCTGAAGCTGCCGCTGACCCTGTCATCCAAATCCATCTCGGAGCGCAAGACTCGGCTGGGCGGAGCCACAGAGCGCTCCAGGGGCGGAGCTGGGGCCCACAAACCCCGCCCACCGGCCCCAGACATGGACAACGAGTCGCAGTACTCGGGCTACTCCTACAAGTCTTCACATTCACGCAGCTCTCGCAAACACAGGTACACGCAGATCACAGACGCGTACGAAATTATTCCTGCTTATTCAGTCCTGGAGATCTGCTTACCTGCAGAGTTCAGTCAAACACACCTGCCTGTGATTATCAAGAGCTCCTGAAGATCTCAGTCAGCTGCTTCATGTGGAGCACAACTTATTTAGATGTTTTTGTTTTTTATGTTTTAGAAATGATTCTTTTCTGCTCATCAAAAATACAGTAAAACTTAAAGTAGCTGTTTTCTATGTGAATATCTGTTCAAAGGTAATTTATTTCTGTGATTTTCAGCATCAGTACTGCAGTCTTCAGTGTCACACGATCTTCAGAAATCATTCTAATATGCTGATTTGATATGTTGTGCTGATGAATATTGTTGTGGAAATCTTGCTACATTTTATTTTTCAGGATTCTTTGATGAATAGAAAGTTAAAAAAACAGCATTTACTCAAGAAAAAAAAAACACTTTTGTAACTTAATGAATGTCCTTCTTTCACTTTTGATCAATGTAATGGATTCTGGCTAAAAAACGTTTTTTTGTGGTAGAGTGGTAGTTTAAAGGGTTAGTTCACCCGAAAATGTGTCGTTCCAAACCCGTAAGACCTTCGTTCATCTTCGGAACACAAT